AACCATCCGTCTCTGATTCCAGAGTCCCTGGCAGGAAGTGGTTAATATGCATCGAAGCTTAGTTTGAATTTTAGCTGCTAATACACTAATGGGAATCCATAGGAAAAAATGGTATAGTTTTCTTCAGTCAGCTGGCCTGAACTGATTTATTGCAGAGGATCGACAGGGCAGACCCAGATGACTGGACCAAACTTGAGGAATCACCTGTGTACAAAGGTGACAACACATTGAGGGATTATCAACTGGAGGGAGTAAATTGGCTCATGTTCAGCTGGTGCAACGGGTAAGTGTTTTAGCACTGTCTGTACAGTAAGCTGATGTAAGATGTCACTGGAATCCGTTCTTCTGTAGCTTGTTGATAGGAATCTAGTCTATAAGATACTCACTGGCAGAAGAGTGTCTGTTAGATATGTGCAGATTCAGGGATTAATTATGCTGGACGGCACGTACCAGATATTGATCAATCAGCAAGTGGTTCGTATTCCTTCCTTCGGCTGAAAAAGTGGCACATGAAGTACTTGTACGTGTACCTGGGCAATGGGTTGGAGTCAGACAGAATGGAGATTCCTCCGGATTTTTCAAAAATCCGATGTTGGTTTTGCGGATTTTTGGGGTTTAACACTTTCGGTGGAATTTTTTGCAAAATGAGATTCATGTGAGACTTGGTAAAGTCTAGTACAGGCGATCAAGAAGTACACAAATTTATGTTACTCCCTCTGGAATACTATGGTGTGCTCATTGGGTACATGGGATGGTGGTGGTAAAAGTAATGGCAGAATGGGGTATATTGTGTATTCCCACTCATGTACAGGAATGTGTGCAGCAAGCCAGAACATAAGTGTGATTCAAACCAGCAACACACGCCACATATTGTGCAGGTGTTACTTGAGCAGCAAAATATGGAAGCTTTCTTGAGTTGTGTACGTACATGTACATGTGGTGGATCTGTGTGGCTTTCTACAGAAAATCGGTTGATTTTTGGGTTGTTTCACAGGAAACACATGATTCTTGATAATTTGACATGGTATATCAAATAATTGACCAAGATGAGGGCCTGTCTGTTGATAAAGGTGCCAAAAATCCATGTAGATTTTTATGGTTGGAGACGAAGATGGATTGTGAATATGGCATCATGGTGAAGGGGAGACGATATACAGAGATTTCCTCGTAAAGATTGATAAGTTTAGGCATTGCAGATCCTTGTAGTATGATGTTGGAGGCTTAAAGGACAGAGTATGCTGTAAGTGTTCATGAACAATGTGTAGGCTAATACTTTCAATTTGTTTTTAGACATGGAACAAATCCAAAACTGCCTCAAACTGCTTGCTGTGTCCTTACATGTATCATTCTTTAACTTAGGGCAAAAAACATGGAACTCCTTAGTAATGCCGTACATGTATATATTCAATATCATGCATACATGTAACTTGGGATGGGTACATGTACATGTACACATTATATACATGTACATGTACACATTATATACATGTACATTGTACATGTATATACATGTAATGTGCATGCATGCATGCGTTAATGCAGTGAACATGACAAAATTTGTTTACCCTCCACTATTCTCACAAGATTTCCATTTTTTTTTTATTTGGATAGAAACGTGCATAGGCTTAATTCATGCACACTTTTACATCTGGCTGAATCTGCTTGATCAACGTGACTTTAACTTAATTAGAAAGTTGAAGGTGATTGATGTTCATACATGTCATCAATGAGCCAAGTTAGCTGAGAGCATTTGGACTTATTGATGTCCTCCATCTCCATCCGTCTATCCCATTAGAAAATTACTTTATGGCAGTTCTGATTGGCTGCAGAAAATTTACATAATGCCTGCATCAGACATTTGTATGGAGCACATGACAGAGTAGAGCAGGTGATACTGAGAGTGATATGCATACAGAGTAAACATGCTAAATATTGTGAAATGTTTAATGCTGCTTCTGTATCTGCATGTTCAATTGCTTGATTACATACTGACTGTAGTGTTTTCAGTTTTGTCAAATCGTGATTTTTTTGTAATTGATAGGCAAAACTGCATCTTAGCTGATGAGATGGGCTTGGGCAAGACCATCCAGGCACTGGCCTTTATACGAGAAGTACAGAAGTTTGGTATTCAGGTCAGTTGTGGTATGCTTAAAGGCTTGTACATGATTTGCAAAATCTCAAATATGGGACTGTCAGATTATCTTTAAATCTCTTATTTTTTAATAACAGAGTTTTTCTCATATTGCGAGGTATGCATATACACAACAGTAAACTCAGCATTGATCGATGTGTATACATGTATATCAGACCTGCCAACTGGTACGATCTTGCTGTATTTCCTGCCCGAATTCATTGAAAATATGAATGTTTGTTTTCTTCCTATAAAATACAGGTTTTGGCCATATTGACACATCTGCCAAAAAATTGTAGTTCAACAGTTTCGAATGTACAATATGCTAAAAAAAAAAGGGCAGAGAGTGTAGAGTGTAAAATGAAATTTTTTGCTGTGGTCTCCGAACAAACGCATGCGCCTTAATGCATGCGATTGAATCGACTGTGCATTCATACGTGTATACATGAAATGTGCAGACATTTTCGGCGCGGCTGAAAGCACCAGCCCCGTGTGTAAATAGCATCCTTGGAACAACCCAAACATTGTCTTGTGATTGGCTGCCTGTGAAATGTCAGTATTCATATATGTGTCAGTGGGACTCCTATCAGCCGTTCCTGCATCAGTGGAAGTAGTGACTAATAATCTCCACTATGAATCACAGTAGCATGCATTTCACCATGAATTTGCGACTTGAAATGAGGTTACTTCATTCTTTTTTTCTTTGATACAGGGCTTTGTGACAACTGGCATGAGCCAAAGTTTTACAGTCATGCATTATTGCGCTGTTCTTACATGCTCCATTTGCATTATTGTGGACAAGATTTCATGGAGATTTCAAACAGGTTTTGGACACGAAGCCAGCAAAATGTCAGTGCAACACAAGTGTATAAATTGTCTAAAGAGGCTTTGACTTGGATGCAATCTTTGAAAAGACTGATCCTCTAGTTACAAATCAGCGGAAATGGAAACAGATGGAATAGTCCATAGAAGGGAGGTGACGCAATCCATGCCTGGAAAATTCAAAAGCCTAGACATATGATGTGTATTCTTCGTAACAAAGAATTCAAATTTTGAAAATGTGGTCGAATCAGGAGGGAGAAGGGCCAACTCTCTCTACAAAGCTCGATAATGAATTTTTTGCCACGTTATTTCTATGCCTGAAGAGGTGTTGACCTAATCCAGAGTTGTTCAAGCTGATCACAGAGGCATACATGTATGCTTATTTTTTGAAAAATAAGATTTTTTAATCTCTCTACAAAGCTCGATAATGGATTTCTCGCCAAATTATTTCTATGCCTGAAGAGGTGTTGACTTAATCCAGAGTTATTCAAGCTGATCACAGAGGCATATGCTTAATTTTTGGAAAATAAGATTTTTTAATGAGAAATACAACTTTCAGGTTTTTAGAACATCGTTTTGTGATCACAGAGGTTGGCAGGTCTGATATATGTTCGTGTAAGGGCAAAACCCCTTATTAAAAATTAACATCTCCCCAATGCCAAAAGTACATCCCTTAAATACCTCAGGCAAAGTAAGTAAATAAAGGTTTCAGACAAGCTGTGAAATCATCCCCCCCTGGAATGCTGTCATTTTACAAAGAGAGAAATTTTACCCTTTTTCCCCCACAATCATCCAGACGGACGATCTTTGGAGAATAAAATTTGTTTCAATACTGTAACCGTTGACGGGTGCATAAAAAATGTATGTGATGCAATTAGCTGTATGAGGATTGACTTTGGTATGCCCAAACACATTAAGAGAAAAAATATATACACATGTACAACCGTAATTCAATTGAATGTTCTTTTTTGCCTTGACCAAAGGGAATGGTCGACATACAAACATAAAAGATGTATGAAGCAAAAGTAATTCCATACTGGTGTGTGTTTGAGTAGCTAGATATTTGCAGTGAAAAAGTGACCTACCACAGATAATATCCATGTACATGTAGAATCCATTTGGGCAGCAAGCGTTGATTTGAAAGTTAGCCATTCTTCTGCATTGTCCTTTTCATGGTCAGGTGAATTTGTTTTATTCCTAGGGCCCATTCCTCATTATTGCACCCTTGTCAACTATCGCCAATTGGCAGCGGGAGTTTGAGACATGGACAGACATCAATGCAGTTGTGTACCATGGTAGTGCCCAGAGCAGACACATGATAGCTGAGTATGAGATGTACTTCAAAGATAGCAAGGTGAAGTTAATCAACTATTGTACAAGCTCAGATTGGTCAAGAATACGAAAAACATGTCACTTCCTACTAATTACTTTGAAGCCCTCCAAACGTCTTTATAAATTCAGGACTGAATAACTTCATCATACAATAATGATTTTTATTGCCACAACTTCTGGTCCTTCAGGGTCGGCGTATTCCAAACATCTATAAATTCCAAGTTTTTATTACCACGTACGAGATAGTCCTAGCTGATTGCCAAGAACTGAGCGAGATTGAGTGGCGGGTAGTTGTCATTGATGAGGCACACCGTCTTAAGAACAGGAACTGTAAACTGCTAGAGGGACTCAAGTTTCTTGACATGGTACGTAGCAAATGATACTACATTTACAGGGCTAAATGATGGTGTCAACATATGCACATTTTGTATATGGTTTCCTTGTGAATTGTATGTTCTTATTCAAAGTATGTGCCATTTCAATAGGGAGTTCTTGGTGTCACAATCGTCTTTGTTTTAAAAACATCATTTGTAAATACCTGGGACAATTTTTCTATTCCTATTGGGTGAAATGCGTCACTTGACCGTGTATTAACATTTGATAATGCCAGCTGCGAAGTGATAATGCCTGCTGTGTAAATCACGTGCTGGCGCGTGGATTCGAGACAGTTTAATTGGGTTTGATTGGTCAGGAGTCTGTGTGCACGGGATGCATTATGTACACGCCAAGTTCATTTAGGGGGATTCTATTGGACAACTTTCAAAAGAATACACCATAAAACCACCATGTTTTAGAACAAAATCATTGGAAATCTGTCATGTGTTGACTTCTTTTGACTCTCTGAATAAAAAGGTATCATGAATGGGAATAAATATGTGCTTGGCCAGTCTTAAATGTGCACCAAGCACATTTATTCCCTTATTGAATATGCGCATAATTCTTCACAGAGTCTGAATGTTTTCCTCTCCTTTTTAGTAGTAGATCCTTTTAGGAACTCTGAACTTGTCTGTGACGTTAATTGGATTGTAAAGACTAGCGATAATTCTCGCAACAAAGTAGGGAATTTTCTCACAGTGAAGGTTGGTATTAGAAGAAGTTAATGAAAAGAAAAATCTATAAAGTTGTATTCATTGGTCTGCATACTCTCTAAGGGTTATATCATTTCACTTCTCTCTGTGCTGTCTTGCAGGAACACAGGGTTCTTCTTACAGGTACTCCACTGCAGAACAACATTGACGAACTCTTCAGCCTGCTGAATTTTCTTGAACCAGGAAGGTTCCGATCAATCAGCCAATTCCTTGGAGACTTTGGTGACCTAAAGACAGAGTCACAAGTGGAAAAGCTGCAACAGGTATCAAGACAGCCAGAGACAATGAACAATAAGACCTTGGCATGCACAGATTTGCATTATCTATTTTTGGACAATGACAGTCATTAACATTTGTTTTATCTTAGTGAATATCATTTGTATAATTGACACTAACCTAGGTCGACCACAGTGATTAAACAAAGTCAATTTAGTCGAAACTCCCTTTATCTCACAAAAATGTACGTCACTCCCCCCAAAAAGAATGGGAATTTATGTGCAAAAATACCTTCGTAACTCAAAATTCCCACATCAGTACATCCATTTATCTCGAAGTTTGTATGATCCCAACCTCCCAAAAAGTCTTCAAACATGTCAAAATGCTCCAAAAAGTGTATAAAGGAACACAAGGCTAGGATTACAAGTCACTGGTGCATTGTGTACTTTGTCTTTTCACAGAGAAGCCACTTGTATGCACACTGCAGGGTAAATGATGCATAAACCGACCTGTAACCACAACAAATCTTGGCTTTCAAGCTAGCCTAATTGTTACTGTGGACCCAATTAAAGCCTGTACATAGGGAGTCCAATTGCTGTCTCTGCAGCAATCATATACATTGCCTACCTGCAAAAGAAAGGTCATTTGACCTTATATAGGAAAAACCCAAGTGAAAACAAAACCCAGCAAGCACTGCATGTCTTGTGCTGTAAACTTAATAGCCCAAACAGCACAATATTTGCCCTACGTACACGTAGGTATAAATTTGAAAAGGTTGGTTGTTTATTGTCAGTAGCAAAGAACTTTTTGGTATAATAACATAAAATCTCTGTAAAATGATGATTTGTGAACTGTGCACTGTTAAATATGAATAAAAAGAAGGAAAGTAACCACAAAAATGTTACCACCGCAGAGTAAAACCTTACTATGCAATGCTATGTTCATGACACAGTTGTCCTATCAGTCAAAACCAGTCAAATTTCCCATATGTGTCTGTATACTGGGTGAAATCAAGTGGAAGGAGTTTTGTCTGTTATTGATGGTTACAGCAAAAGGAGTGTTTTAAGTTTCATATTACATGCACGGTTCACGTATGTGTATTATGACTCCATGACTCTGGAACTTTGTTCCGAATTCAGATAACTCAATTTTTTATCCATTCCCCCGAGGTTTAAGTTGCCAGATTTTGCTCTTTGTATTCCCACCTGCACAAATGAATGGATTTTCAAAGGAGTTGGATAGCTGACATAATAGGAGGGTTGAATTGGTACCTTTTTGCCTTATGTTCCTTATATGTCATGGAACACATCTATTGAAACAGACAGTAAAAACATTCGAAACTCATCAAAAGAATGACTGGTTTCTCCCTTTTTGGTGAAAGCTTTTGAAGCCAATGATGCTACGTCGATTGAAGGAAGACGTGGAGAAGGATCTTGCTGAGAAGGAGGAAACTATCATTGAGGTCAGTCTTAAAGAATTTTTCGAGAGGGGTAAACATTCAATTTATGTTGGCATTGTTAAATACATGTGTTGATACTCCTTCAATCTGTCAGTTGTTCATTGGCATATTTGTTTTACCTGGGCATTGACAGGTGGAACTCACCAATATCCAGAAGAAGTATTACCGGGCCATCCTTGAACGGAATTTCAGTTTTCTGAGTAAGGGTACCACCTCCAGCAGCAACCTGCCCAATTTGATGAACACTATGATGGAGCTCCGCAAGTGCTGCAACCACCCTTTCTTAATCAATGGTAATAAGCAGCACGGGAGAGTTGTTGCCTCTTGCATAAATATTTTTGTACTTTATGTTGTACTCACCAGGAGAACTTACAGATTTTTTTATGTCAGAAATGTGAAAACTCAGCTTTTTAGCTGATACCAGCATTTTTTGTTCAGATGTTGACCCTGAATTTCAGTTTTTTTGTACACCTGCTATGTACAAATGTATAGGGACTTCTTACATTTTTGCTTTTTGTTAGCTGTTTTCAGCTTTAAGGGGCTACTTACACCCCTGTTATGTAGTACTTACCCACGGACAGGTATTTTTCCTGCTCTCTCATTGTACCCTGATGTAGTCAAGTATTGTATGCATGTGCTCAAATGGTCTACAGTATTTTAGTGTTGTAGCCCTCTCTACTTATTAATGGAAAGGAAACTGAAAAGTACTCCAAACATGTTGCTTAGCCCAAATCTGACAAATTGTCAGGGTTATTTATGCACTTTCTACATTCTGTAATACTCAGGTGCAGAAGAGCAGATAATGGCAGAACTTGCTATTCAGGCCATGAACTTAGAGATGACACAGCACATGAGAGCACTCATCCAATCATCGGGCAAGATGGTGCTTCTGGATAAGCTGCTGCCTAGGCTTCATGAGGGGGGTCATAAAGTGCTCATCTTCAGCCAGATGATACGATGCTTGGATATTCTAGAGGATTACCTTGTCCAGAGAAGGTCAGTTCATTAAGTGGATAAGGTTTCTTCACTGCATTTATTTGGCAGGATGACCAGAAAATGAACTTACCATCAAGGCTTCTGCTGTTTGTTCAGTTTCTTAAATAGTTTTGGTGTGTGCCTGCAAATACTGAATGAATTGGGTGAAAAAGAGTTCTCCATCAGCCAGTTTCAGCACAGTGTTACAGTTCTTAAGTGTGAATCTATTGTTTTTTCTCAGATACCCATTTGAACGAATTGATGGTCGGGTACGTGGTAACTTGAGGCAGGCTGCCATTGATAGATTCAGCAAGCCAGGCAGGTTTAACTTAAAAACAAAGTTTCTTGTCTTGCACATTCAGTTTTGTCGTGAAACTGCATCATGCTTTATTAATGGTATTAATCACTCAGTGTTTGGTGAAAAGATTCTTCCATTTCCTTACATTTTCCACTGTCATCCTATGTAGATTCTGATCGCTTTGTCTTTCTCCTGTGCACACGAGCCGGAGGTCTGGGCATCAATTTGACGGCCGCTGATACCTGCATTATCTTTGACTCTGACTGGAATCCACAGAATGATCTACAGGTTTGTAGAGCTACAAGCTCAAACTGACTAAGTTCAGCTCATGATGTGAAAGGTTAAGACAAATTCAGCACTGTATTGTCCAAATTTAAGAACTTTGGATTGTTAGTGTTGTCCCAGTTTGATTGAAATACGAAGAAAGAGGCGATTGGTTTAATGTAAGAGAAATGGGTTTGTGGGTACACGATGGAATCAATCTCTTTTTGGGCGAGGTGTGTTTCTCAAAAAGAACGGGTGAGTATTAACTCGACGTTTTGGCCAGTGTGCTCTGGCCGTCCTCAGGAAATTGGATAGCTTGGTTATAAAGGTAATCCGGAAGCAGTGGAGCATGGAACAGCATTCGCATGTTGTGTAACTCAGTGTGTGCGCTGTACCATGAAGGTGTTGGATCCTGTGGCAGTGCGAGGTGACGGAATTGGCGGGAAAGCCTGGGGTTGGGTACAGGAGACCCTTATGCCATGGGGGGGGACGGGGAGGTGGCTTCAGATAGAGAAGACCTTAACGCCTGGAGTGTGGGCATGGGTTCCGGGTATAGGGGACCCAACTGCCCAGGAATAGCTGTCTGCTTGGGTGCTAGTAGTGGGCGCCAGATGTCGCTGAGCTTGAAACCCATGTCTTGGGGTACGGTGTTGTGCCGGAAAATCTTGATGGCTTCTCGAATTCTTTTTGGGAGCCAGTTCTGGATGGGGGCGATGAGTTCTGCTTTGTCCCATTCGATGTGGTGGTCCGTGGAGTGTGCATGTTTGATGATGGCCAACTTGTCGTATTCTCCTCGTCGGCCGTGTGAGCGGTGCTGTTGGAGTCTTGTGGGGATGTTCCTGCCGGGTTAATGTACTTTGTTGGATTTTGGTGGACTCGAGACAGTTTCTTGTGAAGTGCTTAGGGTACTAAATTATGGTAATAAGGTTGCATCCCTGTTAACAAAATGTTATGTTCAAAATTGATGTGAAGCCATATGTGTTTTTATGTTGCCATTTGGACAATTCAGATGTTGATATAACTGCAGGTTTAATTGCCAAACAGTGGATTACAAAATGAAAAAAGTACATTTCCTTTAACTAATATCAGGGTTAAGCTGAAAATTTGACTGGCGGATTTAACACTGATTGATTGTATTTTTCGTGTCTCCTTGTGTGCAGGCTCAAGCCCGTTGTCATAGGATTGGACAAACGAAATCAGTGAAAATCTATCGCCTAATCACCCGGAATTCATATGAGCGAGAGATGTTTGACAAGGCTAGCATGAAGCTGGGTCTAGACAAAGCTGTGTTGCAGTCCATGCGAGGAGAAAACCAGTCGACTCCTGCAGTGAGTACAATGGTGGTGTTTCACTAAAACCCTATTCCAGTTATCAGCCCTAGTATACTCCAAAAAATGATCGGATAAAATCATTTTTAAAGTTAGGTTTTGTATTAGTGCTACAGTTTCAATCAAGCTGCTACTGTCAGTACATGTACTTTACATGCCTTACTTTGTCATGAGTTTTATTGTCTGAGTTGAAAGAAAAACCTTTGTCCTTTTAATTCTTCTGCATATCAGCAACAGCAACCATTTTCCAAGAAAGAAATTGAGGACCTTCTACGCAAGGGAGCCTATGGTGCCATAATGGAGGATGATGATGCTGCCTCCAAATTCTGTGAGGAAGATATTGAGATGATCTTGCAACGTCGTACACAAGTAATGAAGATTGAAGGAGGCCAGAAAGGCTCCACCTTTGCCAAGGCCAGCTTTGCTTTGCCAGATGACCAGAGATCTGATATTAAGTTGGATGATCCTGATTTCTGGGCTAAGTGGGCTAAGAAGGCGGAGCTGGACATAGAGGCTCTCAAGAAAAGGGTAAGGATTGCTAGGAGCTGGATGGGGAATTACACTAAATACAAGATGAATACAACAAAGTGGCATGTAATCATAGAAAGGATTGTATGTGTTTTGTGTCTATTCAGACTGAAGCTTGTACATGTACTGTAATTGGCCCTTCTTACCAAAAGGTTCTTTTACTTCAATTTCCATAAAACAGGATAGCCATGTAATCACTGAGCCTCGCAAGCGTACACAGACCCGCCGCTTTGGCAACATGGATGAAATGGTAGAGTTCACCAGCAATGATGAAGACAGCGATGATGACCAGCTAACTGCTCCACCTAAGAAGACCATGCATCGCAAAGGTCACAAGGGGTCAACAGCATCTGGTGGTGCTTCATCTTTAGCCACACCTGTCGTAGCCATGAAACCAATGAAGCCTTGTAAGAACCAACTGCAGTCTGGTTGGACACGTTTAGAGTGCTTCCGTGTTGAGAAGGGACTGCTTACATATGGGTAATGCTTATCTTATGAATTTAGCCAGGGAGTCTTTTCCTTTTGTATCAGTTAATGTCCTAAGGCATTTTGACCTCTGTTTCACTGTTAACCTAACCCCCTAGGCCTTTTTACCAAGAACAATCCAAAATCCTCCCATTTTCAACATGAAAAAATCGCAATTTCTTAAAAATGTCATTTGGAGGTGTGCTTAACTGCCCAAATCCTTCAAAATCCTCTGGCAATTCCTGTCATTATGTTGAGGCAGTGCGAATGACACTCTTGAGCTGTGCAGTTGATTCAAACGAAATAATGGGTTGAATTTGTGCTTGACTAAGCACCAACAACATAAGGTCTTATCCACGACCTTCATGTATGGCATCCTTCGAAATCATCCGTGCAATTTGCCATACACGCTGAATCCTCTTAATTCCTCCACTTTTGCAGAAAAGGATTTTTAAGGATTTGGGAGGGTTAGGGTTAATCTGTTTCACCCCAAATTCTCCAATGTCGCCCCTAGGGATTTGCCGAATACGTTTTGAGATCCTCTGCACTAGTTGTATGCTGAAAATATGACAGCTCATTTCATTTAGACTTTTGTTTGTAATCTGAAGCCACTTCCTGTGCATTTCATGCATGCCATTATGAGGATATTGCCATAGACTGTTTGCAGAGCTCTAATTGCACTGAAAACTACAAGGAAGGATAGTGAGTTTTTATGACTCACTGCAGAATACAGCCTTTTGAGACAACATAAATATGTCTTCACCATTATCTAATATAAACTTCAGCATATCGATTTGAGTCTTCCTAGCAGTGCATGTTACTTTGTATTCAGGTTCTTTTGGTGTTCTCTTTAGATGGTTTTCTGTTTTCATTTATAATGTTTCATTCATAGTTGGGGCCGTTGGGAAGACATCTTGTTGACTACAAGGTTCAAGAGACCACTTGGAGAGAAAGATATAGAAGCTATCTCAAGAACAATGGTAAGATGTCATGCAGCACAGTTTCAATCCAATACCGACACCTGACAGATTGTGGCACTCATTGAGAGAACACCTGTGTCATCTTTAATAACTGTCTCTGAAACCCAGACTCATTTGAAGGCAGAAGTTGACTAAGTTTCTCCTTTCCCCCCCCCCAACCTTTCTAGCTGATTTTTTGTCTCAAGTTCTATAAGGGGGATGAGAACATTAAGAGCTTCATTTGGGATCTCGTCACACCTGCCCCCGATGGATCTATCAAGGATTACAGAAACCATAAAGGTACTACACATTTTATCTTTTGTTCAAGTAGAAAAAGTGTACTCTACATTTCAAGTGGGTCTTGCAATTTGACTTGAAGAAACAGAAAAGAGTGAAACTTACAAGGAAATCTACAAGAATTGTACAACTCTCTCTTTCCCTCTGCCTCTTTTCTGAACTCAGGGCTGTCAGCTCCTGTACCCCGTGGCCGCAAGTCAAAGAAACCCAAGAAAGAGGAAGATGTGGTGCCAGCCATCTTAGAGTATGACTTCAGTGCTAAAGATCAGGACCCAGAGACATTGCTGACTGACCAAGGATACAAGAACCACCTCAAGAGACATTGCAACAAGTGAGTCTAGAAAATGCCAAAGCCTAGCTTAATAGTGTCATAACCTATCAGACCATAACTTGAACAGTGGAGTTCCATGTTTTCTACAAGATATTGTGTAATTTCCACTAGCAGAACATTATTGCAGATTTGTGTGCTATGTCACAATACCAGTCTCAAAAATATGAATCTCACACCATTCAGGCTTGTGTAATGTATTTACAGAGCAATAAAAGCTCATCCATGATTGTTTCATTAACCCAAACTGGGTTTAATCCTCCAATTTCAATATTTTATATACACCCTTTGGACTTCAGGTGAACCCCTGAAGCTTGGTCAATCCATGGCTCAGCCTCCAAATTCATTGTGTAATTACCTCAACTCTTTTGGTTTTATTCTTACAGGGTTCTGCTACGAGTTCGGTTGTTGTATTACCTGAAACAAGAGGTTATTGGAGAAATGATGGAAAAGATTGCAGCAGGTGCAGATGTAAGGTAGGAAACTGCAGTAATACACTTTCCTTGTGCAGGTAATCATAACCTTCATAGTACTTGAGTGCAGTGTCATATGCATGTGAACCTGTATGCATACATAGTGTTATTGCCAAATATGAACCATCTCATGCACAACCTCCTTGTACAGTGGCAATGTGGGAGTTATTGTGGCCTAGTAGTTACACATGGGTGGGAATGTTGATTGTACATGGGCAGAGAACTGGCATTGCCTATGATCAGTTGAGTGCACATTGTTCATGATCAGTTGATTTTACTTAGACAAAAAGGTTACATTGCTAATGGTCAGCTGGTTGTGCCCTGACAAGGAGCTGACATTGCTCATGGTATGTTGATTGTACTTACGCAAGGAGCAGACATTTGTCCTGATCAGTTGAGTATAGATGGGCAAGTAGCTGACATAACTCTTGATCACGTGGTTGTACATGAGCAAGAGGCTAACATTGATCTTGATCAG